TTTGGGAATTAGGTTGGAGGGATTCCGGAATTGGTGGAACTGATTCCGCGGGCGGAACTGGTTCCGGAATGTGCAACATTGCGGAATAGGATGACTGCTCCAATAGAAGTATTTCTTACTGATGAAACTATTTTGACATGTGATCCATTTTGTCGATTTCAACATTTTATTATTCATATAAACCCAATCGATGTTTAAATACTGATTCATAATTTGATATTTATATTTATTCAAACCGTTTTGGTTCTCATTGAATATAGCAAAATATTGGCAAACACCACTAAAAATATCATGTCTGAGAAATAATATTTCTAGGACGCTTTCCAATAGTCAGTATTTTTCTTCTATGATTTCAGAAAAATTTGTAGTGAAAAAAAATCTATATCAAAATACACTAACACTTGTGTGATCGACTAGTGTAACGATATTTAAACAGACTTGATTATTATCAAAGGTCGGATATGATATGCATAGGGATTATTAACTTAACTATGTCGAACGATTTGAGCACAGTACAAACAATAAGGCTGATTATATGAACGATCATTTTCCATAGCATGGTTTAACGGTTTTGGATAGAAAAGAAAATCAATCTTGAGAGAGTACCAGTTTCACCACTCATAATAATCCTTCCTTTTTGCTGATGACTTATTCAGAATGACAGTCAATTTTGTCACTTTTTTTCAATATTTATATTTAAACATTCATATAATTTTGTCATATTAAACTGTTATTATTGAAAATTAACTAACCACAATTTGTTTTCCATAAATAATTCAATTTAGAAGATTAAAGTTTTACATTAAAAGCAAATTAGACATGCCAGGTGGCATGTTATTTTTAAGCGACCTGCCTGGTCTGTCACAGAGTTTGGTCAAGTGTGACTGTCAGAGGCCAGGCCTAAAAATCGCGACCTGCTTGATGCACTGTAGGGACTTTATAACAAGATTTTATTTGAAGTTCTAGGATCGATTGTGATGAGAAATGGAACGGTATTAGATAATAAAAATTTAGACGAAGAACTTGTCTCACAGCGTGAAATTGAAGAAAACTGGGAGGAGCTTGTTGTTGCTGGACCTATTATCGTCAATTACATCGGCAATCTGATGGTATTGTCCAGCAAACATGATTTTGCGTTTATACCACCAACACCTAATTACATCTATACGCATATCAACCATCCGAATTCTTTCCGCACTACACTAGTGCAGGTTGCCAATGACGTATACAATGCATTCACCAATGCGCATACAAACATGGATCGAATTCAGTTGAATATGCAGTTAATACCAAATCACTTAAAAACAGTTTTTAAACTGTTAACATCAGCCTCACCTCGTCTCATTCAATCGATGCTTCCAATGGCACTAGGTAATATAGAGCGAATTGCGAAGCTGTGCGCTGATTCAGCTAATACTACACGGAACAATTATGCAAGCGTAACAAGTCTTCTACAAGAAATAACGGAAATTACAGTAGGAACCTATGGCTACAACCAGAATGAGCTGAATTACACAATTCAGTTGGTGAACAATTTAGCCGGAGAACAACAAACATTAAATTTGCAGTTGGAAGAGATTCGAACAAACTATGAACTGGCACGAGAAAACTTAGAAAAAGCTCGAGAGGACTATTACAATGCATTCCATGCCATTCCAACACGACCGAAAAGGATCATCGGATTTCTTGTCGGAGGACTAGTGGGAGGCTTTCTAGGATGCCTGATCTCGTGCGGTGGTAGTTCACCGGCTCCTATCGATAATACAGCATTTCAAAATGCAAAAGATAAAGCAGAATTAGCATTAAAATATCTTATGGAAGCAGAAACAAAATATGACGAATGGTACTCTCAAATGTTGGAAAAGCAGAATATGTTAACTGCAACTATAATGCAAATGTCTCAATTGAGTATGGATCAAACTGATTATCAGACTACTATTAATATTTTGGTGCACGCAACAACGCAAATCACTGAGATCCAAAAACAATGGACCAATATGACTAGATTCTTTAGTGCATTGGCCATACGAGCAGAAATGACTCGGGAGACTATACTATATGAGTTTATTGAAGTCATCCAGAACGTGATACCAACTAATGGAGTGTTAGATGATGCTGATCGAGAATTTTTCGTTTTATCGATGCGTGATGTAGCGGATGAGATAGAACGTGGTGCACACTTATTATACATCATGGCAAAAACATATTATGATGTTAGCGGTCAGTACATGTTAAATCAAATTTCAGAAATCACTGGATTTGTGATAACGCAAACAGATGATGAACGAGAAGCTCGCTTAAAGAAGCTTGCACAAGACACACTGTCAACATCTGCAAAAGTTTCCAGGATGGCATTAGAACGAAAACAACAATACAAAAAGAGAAATCAAGCAAGACAAGAAGAATACAGACAATACATTCAACAAGTCACTTTGGAAGGATTAGAATCATCCGTTGGAAAATAATATTTTTTTTGTAATCATGAAAAAAAAGCAGGATAGCAAGTACTTCTACATGACATGCACTGTTCTCACTCGCATGCAGACTTTATTGTCTCAAAAAAGAACTGTGTGTGAGCACATACAGCGTGTATACGGTAGAAGTACAAAAAATGAAATAAAAAAAGCGAATGCACGCTAAAATACCATTTAAAAACTATCCATTACGAAATGCTTCTAGCATTTTGACCTTAAAAGCTGTTGATCAGAGTAAATGTCCTTGATAAATAGTCTCTCATGTAAAAATGTCAGTCGTTTTCAATTGTTGATTTCTAAATATACTATTACTGGAACGTAGCTGACGCAGTAAACCAAATCTATTGTAGTAAATATTTTAAGTTGCTGCCATAATAGTTTACTTGTATATGGAATGAATCAATTAAGAGCGAAAGAAAAACCACGAGCAATTTTATCTATGGCATATTTGATAAATAATGAAAAGAAAATATTTTTAAATGGCATCGCAAAATATAATGACAAAAAAATAACATATCATTTTTATCTCTTCACAATCAATTGAATATGCATCTTCACCATCAAGTTCAGCTGAACCTATTATTTCAGAACAGAATCAAATAAACGAATTTTGTTGTTGTCAATGATTATGATTTTCAATTGCAAAAATTTAATGTAATTGAAAGTTGTACCTGAAATCATCGCCTATTTTTAGGATATGACTAAAGGTTCAAAAGACGTTTAATTAAAAGTCATCCCTATATATGATTGTTCATCAAATGAACCTGAAAAGAAGGGTGTGGGTGTCAGTGTGGATTAATCTTGATCGAAAACTAGACCCACACTTACCCACAACGACTCACATCCACACATGCGGGAGAAAAATATTTATTTTTTGATAAGAACTGCATGTGGGTGGGTGGATGGGTGGGTGTGGGTCTTGATAGTGACATTCAATTTAATCCCACCCACAGTCACACACCCCTCACATCCACACCCGAAATTTCCACGAAACCATATAAGTTTCATAGTAAAAGTTTATTTTTTCATTCTACGTGTAGAATAATAAACGTTCCATGCAAAAGTGGACAGTAATATACGTTTGTGTTGAGAATAATAAATCTTTATATATGCGTCATATACATTTTTCTTTTTATATACACTTATTGTTATAAACTGTCCGGCTCCAAAATCCTTGAAAAGTATATGGTAACGGCATAAACCAATTAGGACTTGATTAAAAATTCTTTTAATTTTGGCGAGATTGATTATTTTGCAGTTATTTTAATAATACACTCGCATTGCTCAGGTTCACAAAGAACGTGTCTCGTGGCCTGAGTTTCATACGATAGAGTATCAAAGCAAAAATACTTGTAAAACTTTTTCCAAATACGATTTCTAGACTTGTGCAAGCATAGAATACGCAAAATAAGTATACAAGTAATTAAGCAAGGGCAATTTCGGTGTAATAGAAAATAGAACTGGTTTAATCATACACAGTTTAAGTCAATATCAATCAATTATGGATATTCGCACACCGCCCTTATACATTTACGTACACAGAGTATGCCGACTGTATGGTATCTCATTGATCGTAATTGACGTTTTTTTATTTTTGCTCACTACAGGTTAAAAAGCAATCATACGAAATAGTGCATTATTTTTCTTTACTAATCAATACAGAACGAGAAAAAGAAATGAAAATTGATAATCGTTGCACATATACACGCGTACAGTCTTTAACATTAATTTACACTGTTCTCCGACAAATAATTTAGTCACGAATCAATACTGAAGAAATATATCAGGTAATACAAAAGTCGAGTTCCTGACTGCCGAGGGTTTTCGAATTGAACATGCTGCAAAGAATAAGATATCCAGGCAGACACGTTAACAGTTAAAACGACATTTAAATATTTCAATATGTAAACTGTGAAAAATATTTGATTAGTCACCAAAAACGGGTTAAAACAGATTCAGATTAATAATGTTCTAACATTTTTTTGATGATTAAACATTCAGATTTTTTGAAACTTTCACCGCTTTAACTTGATTTGGCAACTATATCAAACATTTTTAACGATTAAAATGATATTAATGAAAACGCTGAGTAACAGTTAACAATGATTTCGTGTAAACGATGAATTGAAAAATGTACTGGCTTTCCCGAAACTTCCTATACAAAAATATTGTTTTCGTATAACTTCACTATTTATTGACTTGTAATTATAAAAGAACTCTTTTTTTATATGGCAGGTGACATTATCAAATTTTTAAAACTATAGACAAATTATAATTGTTTTTTAAAGTAATTATATTTAGCCTAAATCAAAATAATTTAGCATTTTTCCGGCTTCATAATACTATTTCGCAGTGTATCTACATTAATTGCTTCGTTTTCTAGAATTATTTTGATCTTTAAGTTGTTATTATAGAATCAGAAAAATGCTAATTCTTTTATTTCGGCTGAAGATAGTTGCTTCAAAGAACAATTTTACAGTTTGTATCAGTTTACATTTCAATCCATTTCGATCGAGTGAAGTTGATTTAAAGAAAGGCTTTTAACCGATTAACTTTTCTTAACAGATTAATGCTGATTAACATTCTAGTACAACTTGTTTTTACGTGTATATCTCAAGAAGTCTACATATCAGAATTCTTTCTTGTTTTAAAAGCTCAAGAAGTTTATGCGCGTCAAAAATAAGTTTAACTAAGAGAACCCAATGCGAAAAGTTGCTTTACAACTTGAAGGTCAGACTTTATTTCACTCAATTGGACAATAATTGACTTCAATATAATCTCCACGCTCAATAAAAATTTATTCTGCTTTAGATGGCTCCCAAAATAAAACTTCAAAAGCATAATAGAATGTAATGAGTTTCCCAGAATTATTTTTTTTTCGAAATTCTGTGAACTTTTTTAGACTTTAGCACATAAAAATCTGGGTTTTGTGTAAAATACGATTGTTTTATAATTAAAATTGCTTTATTACTGTTAAACTATTTTGTCTAGTAAAAACCTTGATATTCTACAACATTTAGATACTAAAAGCGTCCACTCATGAAAAAAGGCTAAAATTTAGATCAAGATCGATTATTTCTGGGCTTCGAACCGATTATAATACCCCTATTTTAATATGATTCCAGTCAGATTGTTCGTCGTTACATACAGCTATCATCTGATGTTAATCCTTTTATTCTATTTTAATCGATTATAAAAAATAAATCGATTTAAATGGATTAAAGTTTGCTAAACAAATAAAGTTGAACCTAAAAGTTTAAAGTTTCATGAAATGTGTCATTTGGGCTGAAAATCTGATTAAAATCAAATTTAGATAATGTCATTCTAATCAATTATCAAAACGAGAATAATTAATTTTAATCTGATTTTCAGCTCTATTTTTACGTGGACAATTAAGCCTTCGAAAAGTTTTTCAATAATCTTTCATTTTATAGATATATGTTAGCAAAAGCCAAGACCAAATTAGAAGGAAACTTTTCGAAGAGCGATGTGAATTTTAATAATAGAAGGTCATCACTTTTTATTTCGTGGGAGATGGATTAGTTTACACGTTAAATACCAATTATTATCGCACTTTGAAGCATAATATGTGTCAAAAGTTACCATAATGATAAAACTACCATTCGTCGTAGCCACGATTATAGAAAAAAAATCGGCACTCTCAACCTTATAACTTTCAGAGAAAAAGTTTTTCAGGCATCTAGTGATTAAAAAAACGTTAAAAATTGAATAATCTGATTAAAACAATAACATTTTTAATTGTTTTTTAAATAGAAGAAGTCCCATAAAATTAGATGATTTTCCGAGTTTTTACAAAGGTGCTGGTTTCTTGTCCGTGATGTTTTTTAATAGGATACTAAATTTCATTGAGGCATTCTATTAGAGTGACATAAATAAAAAATATCGATATTAAGTTTGAAAGTAATTGCATACGGTTTGTGAAGGTTTTAGATTTTGTAATGGGTATACTCAATATAGAAGCCTTTTCCTGTCCCAAGACAGGATAAGATATCAAAAACATGCCTTGTGACAGCCTTTGCCGCCTATCGTACAAAAAAGGTCAGTTGATAAAGGTTAATCAATAGTGAAGTTACACGAGAAAACATTTTTGGGTGGAGAATTTTCGGATGCCCTCTAAATACGTAACGGATACCCTTGAAACCACAGTTATTACACAGAAAACTATGGTAATTGTCAGAGTAAGATTGTTCTCATAGACTGCCTAATTTTCTCTATTCTCTTTCAAAAATCAAAATCTATCTAATCTTATTTAAAAATCTCAATATTAGCTTCTTGTTTCTCACGTCAGATTCTAGGTTTTTGAGTCCTCAAATATCATTGGTAGCCTACAGACACACAACAATGAAGCGATGAGTATCCCGTAGTTAAAAGATTTTATATGCATTCTTTTTATGAAAAACTCAAGTTTCATATCTAACATAGCTGATGAAATAGAGATTTTTCTTTTCTTTATCAAATGCTTTGACTAAAAAAGCAATTATTAGAATATTACTATTCTAATTTGTAACGAATTGATTCTGATGTTTGTATTTTTTTTCTATCTTATATACGATGCTTCCCATAACTTGATTGATATTAGATCTTTTCACAAAAGTTCACCATTACTAACGATATACTACTAAATATCCTATTCCTTCTATAGTTTTGAAAGATTTTCTTCAGCAAAGAAGTTCATCTGTTTTGCATGTGTTTATTCTTATACAGAACTGTACATTGAGACTTGGTATGAGCAAAAAAATTAAACCTATAGCAAATCAAAACATCTGCTCTATAAATGAGATAGAACGTAAATGAACATAAGAAAAAGTAGGAGAGAGAGCAATATTTGTTCTTCTCGAGAAAAATAGATAAAATAAGAAACAACTAAACTTGAACTTATTTATTTTTAATAATTATAAGCAATACGACAACAGACTAACTGAATCCTCTTCGTTAATCACGCTTGTTATGCATAGATATTTTCAATTTTAAAAGAGACAAAAGGAAAAGATTTTCGATATGATATCTTAATATGAAGTGATATTGGTGAAAACGTCCGCGTATCATATAAGCATTACTATTATTTGTTTAGTTGTTAATGTAGTCCTTTTGATGTTAAACCAAAAAAGATGAACGCAGTGATGTTGATATATGAGAGAACCACCCGAAGTAATTCACCGCTTTTGTTCTCATATTTTGCTCATAAGTAGGAGAGCTGTATATTAGTAAAATCCTAAAACCATATGGACCCATGTTGTGATTTGGTCCAGATATAGGACTTTTACTGAAATTTTCCTGTCAGCAAAATCATATTTTCGAATTTTGACCTGAAACTTCGCCAATTTTGACATCCTAATTAGATTAGCTTTTATACAATTTTTCAGAACTGTTAGACATAGTATCATTAAAATATGATTTTTTCAAAATATCCATATTTCATACAATGTCTGTTGAAAAACGTTGATGTTTTGCAAAATTTATATTTCAAGGATATTATGTTCGATATTTGTGAAATTTTGTAAACAAGCTAGTCTAATTAAGATATCGAAATAGGTGAAGTTTAAGTTCAAAATTCGAAAATATGATTTTGCGAGAAAACCAGAATGCAGCAGGAAGATTTCAGTAAAACTCTCATATCTGGATCAAATCACAACAGGGATCCATATTCTTTTAAGCTTTTACTAGTCTGTAGCTCTCCTACTTATGAGCAAAGTATAGGATCAAAAGTGACGAACTACTTAGAGCAGCACCCTTGTAAGCAAGGAAGAGAACAATCCTATTTATCGGACTACCACTACTTAATTACATTTACATTGATATTTCTTATTGAATTACTACTTACAATTGGAAAAATCACTAGAATGAATTGATAAAGTTTATTGAATAATTTCTGACTTTTTATACTTGATATCTCATATAGGTGATCGTGCAGAAAAGTCAATCCATTATACTCATATATTCTTACACAATTTCATTGACTGAAGCAATTTAAACAAATTATTCGCATACAATAAATTTGAACACTATATTTAAGTCTCTTTTGGCTCTAATATTGAATGTATTTGAAGCGCACAATTTGGTTTTGTGTGGTTCTAGAGATAGCGTTTATGTTCTGTGAGATAATTTGGATTTTAATCAGCGAAATTGAATTCATCAATGCTGTAATCAAATACACTGTGTCCGATAATTCAACTCAATTTCGCAACTATTCGAAGGAAAATGATAGCTTGCAATATCAAAATCTTTGCGATTTATACTCGGAAGAAGTGAATATCCACAATTACCATGAATTAGAAAATCATAAGTGTAAATCAACAGAAATATCATGTCAAATTCACTCGTGTTCAGCGGCTATTGATATTGTGGTGTTATGGATTAACAACGATGACCAAAACTTGAAAAACTTGTTGAGTTCATCTATACAATCCATGAGGATGGTTAGACCTGATTTACATACTTTGATTTCAAGAAATCGATTTCGTAATCCGAAACAGTTGAAGTCCTTGTTTAGATCAACTTTGAAATTGCATAGAACGGTTATATACAATGGACATAAATCGATGTCAATGAACCGATTTCGCGATTTGAATCAGTTAAAATACTTGTTTAGATCTATTGAAGAAAATGGTAAAGAATGGGCCAGAAGGATATTTCTAGTGACAAATAATCAAGTTCCAGATTATTTAAATATTAATCATTCGAGAATAAGAATTGTTAATCATCAGCAACTATTTAAATACACCAATGTAACGCCTCCGAAACATCCTCTATTCAATTCAATAGCAATCCAATCCATGGTACATAATATTCCTACTCTATCATCTCCATTTTATCTGTTCGACGATGATATTTTTATTAGAAAACCTTTACCAACTACCGCAATAATTGATGGAAACAAAAGTATAATCGATTTGAATGCTGATAAATTTAATATTCATATTCACCCGCGTGAACTTTATGATGGTCATATATATTCGGCTATCAATATAGGACTAAGAAATCGATCAGTTCCTTTACTTGGAGATAATGGTTTGTATTCAATTGCTTTTCATGGCCCGCTACTTCTTTACAGAGAGATTGGTACTAAAATATGGAATGAATTTCGACAAGAAATGAACTCGTTAATATCCCATCCATTTAGAATGCATACAGACCCGTCAATACAAACATTATATATCTACATGGGTTATTCTAATTATTATAGTTTTTTGAAAACACGAAACATATTAAGATTTGAGATGTTAGGAAATTCTAATCCTAGCATAATTCAAAGAACATTGAACAATGCATTTCTTGATAAATCCTCTTATTTTGTATGTATAAATGACAATTTACCATTATTAAGTAAAGAGATACAAAAGTGTTTAAACGAAACTTACGAAAAAATTTTTCCAAATCCTTGCTCGTTTGAATATTGACTTTTTGAATTAAGAATACTGCATTTATTGTTTAATTAAATATAAGGTCTTTTCTTGTTTTAGTGATAAATTCACTTAATTTTTTTTATGATGTTAATGAATAAAATTTATAATAAAATTTGAAAATTTTTTTAAGGTATATATGTCCTTCTTCAGTTTATTTACTTTTCCAATAAGATTATACTTTTGCTATATACAACACGTATAATATCAAGGGGGAAAATGCGATACTCCAGGAGTGCATACTCCACCCATACTCCACACTACTCCACTCATACTCCACTAGTACTCCACTGATACTTCACCGATACTCCATTCGTACTCCAGTGATACTCCACTCTACTCCAGTCGTACTCCAACCTTACTCCACTAGGGATGCAAAGGTGATGATAACCGTAGGTACGGTTACTGGTCCAACTACGATAACCGTAGGTGCAGTTACCAAGTTAAACCCATTCGCAAGAAAAACGCCATTTCATGAGAAAATAAAGATATTTTATAAAGATTGACGAAAGTAAATCGAGGTCGGAGAATCCGAATCTGAAGTCAGTTTTTGAAAATTTTGAATTGAATTTTTTCGACAAAGGAAAATATTTTACAGAAAAGTAATTATATATTATAAAGGCTCAAGAAAGTAAATCGAAATCGAAGAATCCAAATCTGAAATCAGATCCTTGAACTTTTCAATTGTCTCTTCCCAAAACTAAACCGCTTCTTGAAAATCGTCTTTGTTTCTAGAAAGATTTATTCCTGAAAAACATTATATGTGAAGACTAAAACTCAAAATTTTCAAAAGCTGACTTCAGATTCGGATTCTCCGACCTCGATTTATTTTCGTCAACCTTTATGAAATATCGTTATTTTCTCATGAAATGGTGTTTTTCTTGCCAATGGGTTTGACTTGGTAACCGTACCTACGGTTATCGTAGTTGGACCGGGAACCGTACCTACGGTTATCAGTTTGGACCGGTGAAACGGTGACGGTTAAGCGGTGAATGATCGTCACCGTTGCATCCCTATACTCCACTTGTACTCCAGTGATACTCCGCTCTACTCCATTCGTACTCCAGTGATACTTCACTCTACTCCAGCCGTACTCCAGTGATACTCCACTCTACTCCAGTCATACTCCTGTCGTACTCCGCTCTACTCCAATTTCTTTTTGGAGTAGATGGAGTATCGGCTTTTCTCCCTTGTACCATATGCATTATATTAGATTTAGATGCGAACCTTTTTAGGACTCATTCATCTAGAAACATGTTTCAATACTACCATCAAATGCTCCTAGTACAGTAGAAATCAACAATGGTTGGGTGTGGGTGTGATTGTATAGTTGATGACAATGAAAACTTAGCAAAACGCGTTGTGATTAGTCTTATTGAATTTTATCACTTGCTAGTGATGTAAAGGATAGAAATGTATCCCCTCTACTATGTCATAGAATATGGTCAAAAGTTTATAGAGAAAACTTGAAAATTAATATACACTAGACATAATAGGCTATTATCATAAAAGTTTTAGAAGAAAAACTAATATATCGTGCAATAAATTTCATTTTTATATTAAGTTTTAATAGGAATTCATACATTTATTTATCTTTCACTGATTATTAAAAAAGAAAAACTCTAGAAGTGAACCATATTTTACACTTCATTCAAATAAAAACAGTTTTGCATTTAAAATTTTGTTACATCATACAAAGCTGTTTGAGAGTTATGTATATGTTTAGAAAAAAGTTTTGATTAAATATCTTAGCTCAAAGACCTGTTTTTGAATTAAACGATTCTTTCGATATGATGATATTGATAGAAAATCTTTTTCTTCATGCAAATAATATCAATAATAGAATATTAATGATTGCAAAAGTAAGAAGTAAACTATTCATTGTTGCAATGTTTAGTTATACTAATAGATGTATTAGATAAAAATGACTGTTGAAAAAGATTTCCTTCAAACCATTTTCTTTTTAAATCACCAAGAACATTTGATTCTCTTATTGATAATAAAACAACACCGAAATCGTTTGCATATAACTATTGTTCAGAATGGTGTGGGTGTGTGGTGTGGGAATTTTTCTGTTCGCATATCTCACACGAATACCCACAAAATATCTAAACTAATCTCGTGACTTAACATCAAGTTACAGTTATTTCTGTTTTGCAATTCATTTTGTATTAGATGATAAAGAAAGTAGGCTCAAGTGAATACTGATTTAATGCGGAACGTTTCTTTTCGAAGTTCTGTTTTTGAAGAACAATGATTCCCAACTAATTTTAATCTAAGAATACGTCAGTCGAAAAACTCGGTTTCCTGTACATGTATTCAAGCATATTTTCTCAGTTGGTTAGTTGAGAGGTATTATGAATTCTCATCAACCAATAAAACATCTTGCTTGAATCTCATTGGAAACGGATATTTCGATTTCGATAGATTTTAATCGAACTGCATAGAAAACGTCTGGTTTTGAAGAATGTCTTTTATAGAAAAAAAGGATAGCATGAATTTCGTCGTACTGACTTTCGCACTTGACTTTCGGCAATTGTCAAAAGTTGTGTTTTTGTAAAATTTTTGACTGTAAACAGGAGGGATCTTTGGCAATAGCCAATAGTTCAGTTTCAGCAACTATCGGAGATCTTAATAAAAATATTAATCAACTAATTAATTACAGTAAAGAAACCACACTTTGGGCATTGTGCGATTTCAAGTTTCCGGAAGTCCTTAAACAATATTAGTAGACTTTATGAGTGATTATATCGTCTAATAACACATACAGTTTGAATTGATCATGGAGAAGGTGTGTGAGAGAATGTATCAAGATGCTAAGTACGCTTTTACAAGAATTCGG